CGGGGATGGGGGGCCGGGCTGTGCGCGCAAGGCGGGGCAGGCGGCAGAGCCGTGAGGCGGCGGCTGCGGGAGGCCGGGGTCCGCGCTCGGAGCCGCCCCAGCCCGTCTCTCCCGGAGCGGCCGCGGCCGGGGAGGGGGCAGAGGCGCCGGCCATGCGGAGCCCGGCGCGGGGCAGAGCCATCCCGGGGGGGGGCTCCCGGCCCCCCGCGCCTCTCTGCGCCGCCCCGTGACATGCGGCGGCGGCGAGACCCGGCTCCGAGCAGCCGCCGCCCCCAGCCAGAGCCACCCGGCGGCCGCCCGCCCAGCAGCGCCCAGCGCCGGTCCAGCTGCCCGCGGAGCCGTCCCAGCCCCCGCCGCCGGCCAGTGGGGTTCCCCTGCCCGCCGCCCGCCATGGAGAGGGCGCCTGGAGCCGGCGAGCTGGGGGCTCGGGGGCGAGCTCGCCTTTGACCCAGCTCGGGGGGGAGCTAGTGACTCGCTTCGGCTCCCGCTTGTCACCGGGCTCCGCCGCGCCCACAGAGCCCGGCCCCGGGCTCCAGCCTCCGTCCGGAGCCGCCTGCCTGGCGCCCGGCTCCGGGGCGCGCCGTGCGCCCCGCTCCCCGCGCCGCGATGGAGCCGCCGCCTTGCTCCAAGAAGAGCCTGTCCCTCTCCTTGCCCGTGCCCCGGGAGGGCCAGGCCACCCTCAAGCCCCCCCAGCACCTGTGGAGGCAGCCCCGGACCCCCATCAAGATCAAGCACCGGGGCTACTCGGATACGGACCGGCACCCGCCCCGGCACATCGAGCGGGCGGACGCCATGGACACCAGCGACCGGCCGGGGCTGAAGAAATCCCGCATGTCCTGGCCCTCCTCCTTCCACGGGACCCCCAGCCACGGCACGAGCAAGCGGTAGGTGCGGGGCGCCCCGGGCAGGGAGCGGAGCGCTGGGGGGGGGTCGGCGAGTGTAGCAGACCCTCCCCCCGCCCCGGAGTGAGACCCCGGATTGCAGGGCATTGCTGTGGAAATCTCTGACAACCCCTTGGGGAAGCGTCCAGCCCTGCCTTGGCGAAGTGGTCGGTGTGAAAGTCTGGGGGGGCTTGGCTTAGCCGTTAGCGCCCACCTCCAGGGTTTCCCTCTCCTCCGAGCATCCTGGGACAGCGACTGATCGAGGGTGGCTCAGAGCCACCCCCTGCTGCTGGCCCTGCCGTCTTGGGCAGAGCCACTTGCTGCTAACTAATCCGAGCCTCTCTGAGCCTTGCAAAATGGTCCCAGAGGCTGGGACTAGCTGCTTCTTCATCTTCAGGATAGGCAGGACACGGGGTGAAATGAGCCAGATCTGCTCCCGATCTCGGCTTCCCGTGGAGTAAACCCCCAGGAGCCACGCCTCGCTCACTGGCTTTACACCATGCCAGGCAGGTGGGGGCTAAACCTTCTGATTAAAAACCAAAACCCCACCTTGGGTGGAGAGCTGGGGACGCCCAGTGAGCCAAACTCTTCAGGAACCAGAGCCCAGAAGGACAGTGAGTGCCTGGACACACAGCCACGGAATCACTGGGGGCACACGCGTGTGCATGTGTGCGTCCGCCCCATTGCTAGACCAGCGCAGTGGGCAGTGCTTGAAGTGGTCTGAAAAAAGTGTGTGTGGGGAGGGGGGTCTGTCATAATCTGGGAGCAGCAACTTGGGTCTGTCAGTGCTTGAAGCATGCAGCTCAAACCTGGGACCCATTGCGTGGCCTCTCACCCTGTAGGTCTGTGTTCCTGGGGAAGGTTTGGCTCCGCGGCTGATCCTGGGGGGTCAAACGGGCACTTGGGTCTGGTTGGTTTTGCCCTTTCTTCTCCCTGTTTGAAGAAAGCGAAACTCGCCGCTGTTCCCAGAGGAAGCGCTGCGGGACTCCCCATCCCGCCGAGACGCTGGGCTGTCACGGGCCGGGAAGGGCAGAAGTGGAAATTGACCCCTGCCCACGAGAGGCAATAAGCTGTGGGTGGGTTTGTTGTTTTACAGCGTTCTCTCAGAGTCCGACTGAACCGGCGCTTGCCACGGCAATTGGGTGTCTGGCTCTTGTCCCGTTTGTAGTGTGACTCTCCTTGGCCGGGGCCTTGCTGCGGGACAGGCCGCAGCAGCTGAAGTAAAGGTGCAAAGTGTTGGCAGGGTGCTGCTGGTTTGGGTTTTTCAGTGCAACGTCAGTGCCTCGGCCGGGGGTTTAAGCTAACCCGAAATAAGCCGCTGTCAAATCGGCGCCTCTGCGCAGGGGATGGCGTCGGTTTAACTGAACCCGTTTGAAAGCTGGTTTCAGGTCGGCCTGGTGCAGCTGTCCTGTGGTGCGGGACCCGGGGCTGCGTCTGTGCGGCACAGCCAGGGAGCCGTGGGCGGGGTGGTCAGTGT